GGCTCCACCCCTGGAGGTAGAGACTTCTGCAGCACAACAGGGATTACAGTGAGCAAGCATTTGCTGTTCAAAGTTGAGACGAGTGGCTTTTTTATCTCATGTTCAAGAGGAAAAGTGCTAACACAAGGCCAGGCATGGTGTGACACCCACCCACAGTGAAGACTTATCTACGTAGCCTCCATGCCATACCCAGGAGCGCCAGGGTGAAGCTTGCCCTACCCATGTTTGCTCTTGCTCTGGGCTTGGCAAATCTTGGACATGAGGCAACATATCCATCTTCAAGTGTACTTGAGCATGTGTGTTTGGTGCTGCTCTCAGGCACCCTGTTTTGGGCATGCTCATTCATATGTCTGTTCCAGTGCCATGATTCTGAGATGTGCAGGATTAAGAAACCCTAAGTTCAGAACCTGCCCAACCATCCAAGAATGGGCAAGGCTCAATAGCTTGATGTGGGGGGGGGAGGGCCTGGTAATGGCCAGCAAGGCATAGGTAGGACTGGTTGAGGTGAGCCTTATATGCATTGAAGGGGACAGAGTATATCATGTCTGTACCACACTCACACCGGCCTCCCAAATATCTTTCAAGGCTAATGAGGACGTGGCTTTGTGTAATGTTTTAGTCAAAGTAAGCATTGCCCAAGAGCAGAAGCCAAGGTGGCAATGAGTTGAATTATCACAAGTGCACAAGAAAAGCTGATTTAATGGCAGGGTGAGTGCTCTAATGCTCATGCCAGGGACTGTGTGCAGCTGTCTGTTTGTGTGCCATGTGTTTGAGTGTGCCCTGCCATGGACAGAAACATGCACATCCCTTCTGTGCTCCTCCAGCTGGTGGACTCGTTCTATTGATTTAGTTGACCTCACTGTGTTTATTTCAATCCCCTCTGCAGTTTCTAGGTGGGATATGGAGAGTCCAGACTACCAGGAATTGAAATCTGAAATGACGGAGGTTTCAGCTTCCAGCCTCTTTCAGGAGCGCTCCTCTCACAGCCGTCTGGGCGCGGAGGACACAGGCACTGGTACAATAACTGCACTTACTCCTTTTTTCTCTTTCTTGGTTCACATAGCTAGGCCTTGTCCTTCTCCAGATACTTTTCTTCCATTCGCTCTCTCCTAATATTGTTGCCTCCTCCTATCCTGGGACCACACAGGGATCCCATCCTGAGCATAAACCTCCATGCTTCTCTTCTTTATCTGCTGACTGTCTTTAGAGAGTTTCTTGCTTTGCCTCCTTTTCTCTCCAGCCATGATCTATCCTGTTCCCAATTCAACCCCAAGCAATCCTGAGAAGGGCATCACTTCAACTGCCAACAGTGACCAGACACACAGTGTGTTAAATAAGTCCATCCATCCCTCTACATTGAGACACCAAAATGTTCATCTCCTTTTTTCATCTTAACTTTGTGACAACCGTTGAGCAGTCAGTAGATCAGGAAAGTTTGTGCTGTTTATAAAATTTCCTTCGAAAAAATATTAAGTCTCTTCTTCCCTTCTTTTCTCAAAGACAAATTATTTCTGCTTCTTTGCTTACTTTTCCTCTTTCTTCAGGCAGCCTGCATGGATCAGTTGCATAGCCTAGGCAATGCTGGTGTGCTAACATGCCGCTGTTGCTTAATTTGGGCTTCATTCATTCTGAGCCCCATTCTCTAGCCTAAAGGGGAAAAAATGCTTAAATGGAAATTAATAAAGATCTTTCCTAATGATTGCTTCTGGTTTAAAGTAGATAAATTGCAACTTTCAGGAATTTTAGCCTTTTGCTGAAAACTGGACATGAATGACAAAGCCAAATAACAGAAGGGTTCTTTTCCCCTGTTCTTTTTTTCCTGGAGCAGGATGTGGAGAACTGGTCTGGGTGGGGGAGCCCGTCACCCTCCGCAAAGCAGAAACAATTGTTGGCAAATACGGCGTGTGGATGAAGGATCCAGAACCTGCTTCCCCATACACCCGCGAGACGACTTGGAGAATCGACACGGTTGGTACAGACATCCGCCAGGTTTTTGAATATGACAGCGCTGATCAGTTCATGCAGGGTTACCCTTCAAAGGTGCATATCCTGCCAAGGTCCATGGAAAGCACTGGCGCCGTCATATACAGGGGGTCCCTGTATTTCCAGAGGCGCAAGTCCAGAATCTTGGCCAAGTATGACTTGAGGAAAGAAACCATCACTGTCCAGAAGGACCTCACCAATGCAGGCTACCATGGGCAGTTCCCCTATTCTTGGGGCGGGTACACTGATATTGACCTGGCTGTTGATGAGATGGGGCTGTGGGCAATCTACAGCACACAGAAGGCCAAAGGGGCCATTGTCCTTTCCACGTTAGACCCAGAGACTCTAGAGATCAGGCAGACCTGGGAGACCAACATACGCAAGCAGTCAGTGGCCAATTCTTTTATGATCTGTGGCACATTATACACCATCAGTAGCTATTCATCCCCTGATGCCATGATCCACTTTGCCTACAACACAGCCACAAGCACCCGTAAGCTGCTGAAAATACACTTTGAGAACCGCTACAAGTACAGTAGCATGGTTGACTACAACCCCACAGAGAGGAAACTCTTCGCTTGGGACAATTTCAACATGGTCACCTATGATATCAGACTCTCCAAGATGTGAGGAGCCTGGGAACGTGAAAAGGACACACCATGCTTGTGGCTAACTAACAGCTGTTTGGCTAGGGCAGTAAGACAATTAAGGCATCAATTTCACACATTTTACTTTTCCTATTCTTCCTGGTCTTTCACAGGGCTTAGCCTGAACCCCAGACTCAGACAGAGAACCACACTGGGAGGAACAAATTGATCAGGACTGAATGCTAGGTGAGGGAGTGTCACATCAAGACACACCCTGGCTCAAAAATAGTAACACAGAGTGGCAGGTGTCTTCACTGAGTTTGAGCATTTGGATGCAACAGGTCATGTTCAGCCCTGGTGTAACTTCCTTCAACTCCTTTGGAGTTACACAATGGTTGAATTTAGACAGCATAAAAAAGAAGGCAAGCTTTTCAAACATGCACAACTTCTGGAGCATATAATCTAGCTGCAAAGGGAAAAAAGCCAGAAGAACAAAAATCTACCTGTTCTCTCTACTGAGAAAGGCTGTGACTCTAGTCAGTCAAACTAAAATGATCACCTCCATCCAGAGCTTTATATAGTTGAGCAATGGTATTATAGGGAAGCATATTACCTGGCTACCAGCTTCACAGACAGCCTCTTAAATAAATACCCAACAACCATCATTCAGCCGTAGGCAGGCTGTGCAGCTGTTTATGATATGAAGGAAGCATGTTGTGCAGTCAAAAATGAGCACAAACCAAAGCTGTGTTGACAGTAACAGAATTTTGCTCTGTTGACCAAGACATCCAGATTAGCATATGCTGCAAAGCTGTATGGCACCTGGTCTTTGTAGGATGAAACCAAGGCCTAAAGGCACTGCTTCCAACCCCAGTGAAACTAGTGACACGACTCCCACTGAGTTCAAAGTAGTCTAGCTGGGCCCAGAGTAGGTTGGGATAGCAGGGGAATCTCAGACCAGGCCAAGAACATTCCAACTTCCTAAGTGGGCCTGGCACTATGGATGGACCACATCTATTTAAAGAAACTGTTTAAGACCCAAATGATTTCAGGAACTTGAAGCCCCCTCTTGTTTGGCTATGGGAGTCTTCTTTGAGATCACTAAAAGCTCAGCTCAAGTGTTTCCATAGGTAAATTTTGGAGTCTGAAAACATGAAAAAAACTGATTTTGGAAGAGAAAAATATGTGTAGGAGGGAAGGGGAGGGAGGGCAGGGGTTGGTCCTCTATCACAGTGACAGATCACAAGGAGGAACAGGAACCTTGGCTATAATAAGGAGAGGACACGGTGCTAATGTCCACATAAAAATAAAAGCCTTTTCTTGGTAGTAAACAGCATTTCTGTCACTGAGCATGAGGGGGAAGCAGGGACAGCAAGATTCTGATTTCAGCTCTCCAAGGACTGAGTACTGAATGGCACTTTTAGCTAATTAATAGGGGTTTCGTTCCATGTACACTAGCATGGGAGTAATGGACTGAGCATTAGAGGAGAGAAAGTCCACTGAGAGGCAAGGAGAGACTTTTCCCCAAAGATGTGGTTCACGTTCATGTCACTGGTGCTGCTCTCTCCTCAGATGCTGGAGCTCTAAAGAAGCATTCCCTTGCTTCAAAATGTGCTGCAGTTATTAAAAAACAAAGAACACTGCAAGGGAGAACACCTTTTATTTCTAGCCTCTTTCCAGCCCCAGGACTTTCCATTTATACAAAATTTGGAAGCAAGTGGATCAATGTTAGATATTGTTACTGTCATCGTCAGCCAGGCAGCCTGTGGGGGAAGAGAGGAGAACTGACATAGCTTGGTTTCTATATAGTCTTCCCCACTCCTCCACAGAAATGGTTTGGCCACTGGCATCTTAAACTGGGAACAAGAGGTGAGTAAAAAATGCAAAGCTCAGGTCCAGTTGGCTAACCTTCCTCTATGTTATGCAGTCATTACATTTAAGGGCTTTGATCCAGGTCCTATTTCAGAAAGTGGATGATGTCAGGAGGTCAGCATCCCACCATTGCCCAGCATTCAATAGCTGTTACAGAGCTGCATATTCACTTTTTGTCCATATGCCCACAAAAAGTATGACCAGTGCAGCTTCCCTAGCATTAAAAACCAAAGTTAAGCAATTTTTATTCACGGTTTTGTCTCCAGAATGTTGCTGTTAGACAGAGTTTAGACCAAAGGTGGCTTACTGTTTGCTAATAACTCTAACTTAAGCCAGTCACCAGAGCGTAGTGCAGTCCAAACCACAGCGAAGTCAAAGGACAAATCTCTCACTGCCTCTGATGGACAACAGAACAGACTCATATTTATTCCAGTCTATGGTTATTACCCTGGAATGGGAAGCATCCTCATATTATGTAATGACTGGCAGTGCTAGCTATCAACCGCATAATTTCACTGATTGCACTGTAATTAGATGCACGCTCTAAGATAGCTATGGCATTAGATTGTAAGCAGCTACCCATGATCTTATTTTTTTTAAACAACTACCACCTAAAAAAAAAACACCTAACCCCCACATAAATACTGTAGCTGGCTTGATTTTTGTTTTTGAGGAGGAAAAAAAAAAAAGCACCAAGCAGTGGAGGTTGCATTAAAGCATCCTCCATGAAAGCAAAAGTACAATCTGCTAATGATTATGTGGAAATAGTTTATGATAATAAGCAATTAAAAAAAATCTCAGACAACTCTGTTGTGGTGATTTCTTTGCAGATTTCTTGTTTTAAAGCAAAATGCTAGAGGGAATTCCATGCTATGGGAATATACAGTCACCTTTTCATGAGAGTTCAGCACTGAAGATCTGGATTGATTTTTCAGAAGCTCAGTTCTTCTAGAACACAAAAATGATTCATAGGTTGGAAACAAGCCCTGCGGGCCAAGACATAAGGAGCTCATCTCATCAAACAGAAGTCTGAAGGGTGACTATGTCTAACCACTTACACATGGAGCAAGTGTTTGATGGTGGGGGATTTTTGACCTTGCTGAGAAAGGAAAAGGAGATTCAGTGACTTTAGGTTGGGTTAACTCTGATACAAGATGCAGTTTCCTAACAGTACTGGTGGTTAAACTTTAAACCAGCTTACCAGGAAAAGTGATGGACTTATCTCTAGGAATCTGTAAGGGGAGTTTTGATAGTTTCCTAAATAATACACTTAGAGCCAGCACATGGGAGAAATTCTTTGGTTTAAGTATGTGGAAGGGCTGTACATCATTAGTTCATTGTTCACACTCTTCCTTTATCAGCCTGGGGGGAGCACAGAATTGCTTGTATAGTTCTCTTCATAAAACCCGAAGCTCTGCTTTAAAACAATAATTACCATTACATCCCATGCTCCAGGGCTTTGGTTGGTTACTTGTAGGGGTTAGGAGGGATTTTTTCCTCACTGAAGCATAAACTAGACTATAGGTATTTTTTGGACACTATCTTCTGCATGCAACTAGAGACAAGATATTAAACGAGGCCGACTGAAATAGCACAGAAAATGCTCTCAGGTGCTAGGCTGTGCCTTATTTGGAGGATCAAACCAAGTACTAGAATTTGGGCCAAGAAGAAATCCCTTTTCCTCCCCAGGTCAGATTGAGGGGCCTGGGGAACGGTTCTCTTTCCTCTGCAAGGAGGGTCATGGTGCACCTACTGGGAATCATCTGGATCTCTCTCATTTGCTTAATTCCTTGTTTGCAAGGGCCTTAGTTACCAGGAACATCCTGGTTGTACCTCTTTTCTCTCTGTGATGCACATTTAAGAAATATTTGGCTTAACTAAAGTCTTTGGGTTTGACACAGTGCATTCGGGTGAGGTTTTATGACCCATAACATACTAGATCATCTACTCAGACCTTTAATGATCCTTTCTGGCCTAAATCTCCATGCAGAGAAGGAGACTGAAATCATCATGTTTGTCAGGATTAAATTTGGCTTGTTCAGCCAATGGCTAAAAGCTTGTGCTGCCCCCTCCTGCCCCTTGAAGTGAATGGGAACTTTGCCTTTCACTTCAGTGGAGAGAGGATCTCACCAGGTTTTCATCCAATTAGCAAGTGTCAAAGTTGCAATAACAGATGCACATCTTGAGAAGTCAGTGCCCCAAGAATGAAATGAATAAGAGAACTGGAAACAACTTATTGCTTGTAGAGCTGAACAAAATGGGGAAGTTCAGCTGGTAGGATGAGCCAATTAAAAAATAAAATACCTCTGAGTATACAAGTTAGAATACAAATTCATTCAAATCCTTAATTGATGCTGGTCATCTGTATTCAGATCAGATGAGGGCTTACGGTATAAATTTACATGAAGAAATAACTTATACTGCCAGTTAATCTGTTGACTTTTAATGATTAAAAGACTATAGAGGTAAAAGAAAAAATTATATTCAGCATTAAAGGCTGAAAAATGTCACATTAAGGACTCCAGGTGCTTTGCAGCATCCAGTAGCAACAGCTTGGTAGCTTTGGTGGGCCAGGCAGGCCTGGGTGGGACTCCTAAAACAGATGTCATAAGGAGGCATTGGTGGTAGCTGGAGATTTGCATCATGAGTGGATGTCTACATCTTCACTAGAGAGTTGGACACTGCACACTGCTCCTTTGAGCAGAGTCCCTGTTTTAGCCTAGACCAGGGACCAGCCACTATACTCGCACTCACACTGCACTCACCATTCGCATCGAGACATGCTACAAGCATGGCTCTCTGTGATGCAATAAGTCAAATCCCTCTACATTTCTTTGCCTGTGAATCCTGGGAGAATTTATCTGTTCTTCTGCATACAAGGAAAGAGATCTTGGGAAGGCTCTGGAGAACGAGGAACACTTCAGTTCTAGCCAGCATCCTCCTGGCAAGCAAGGGGGGAGGGAGGCATGGAATTAGCCACCAAAATGAGAGCAAGACCTCTCATGCTCAACTCAAGCTCTAGCTGGGAGTTGCTAGGTGTTAAAGAGGTACCAACCTTGGTCAAGAAAGCTACCGGGGAATGGGGACCGAGGGGTGTGGGATAAGTGAGGAAGCTTAGGAGCAAGACTTACATACAAACCTATATCTTGTCTGTAGAACTAACTCAACATACTGTATTTTCTTTACATGCACCACACCCTGGAATAAGTTTCTCACTTCATTTATGAAAGGAAATATATTATATGTTTCCTTGTAATGACTGAGTAGCAGCAACTGGAGACCTGACCCTCTCAGGAACCTGCCCAGCAACCGGCAGAAAATGCTCTTACCATTTTTCTCCACAGATAATATGCCCTACTTCCAGCAACAAGTATCCTGTATGTGAGAGAATATGGCATGTTTGACTGTCTTTAACAGATAACAGCAAGATATCCTCTTTTACTGCATTCTCAGCTCCCAAGAATTTCTTTTGATAGCAGGCTCTGAGGAAGCCCGCTTTCACACAGTACTGTCAATTCCCACACTATTATTGAGAATCTCCCAATGTTTGCCACCTCCCTCCCTCCCTATCACCGGCTTTTAAGAAAGGGAAACCCAGCTCCCTGAATCCTGCATCTGAGAATCTCAGACACTACTGCCAAGGTAGCAGGAAAAAACCCCCTCAACACAACAGAATTGTACTTTTGTGTGTCTTTCAGTCAGTCTTCAGCAAAGGGTTGGATTCCAGGACTTTGAGCCCTGTTCTATTATATACATAAAAGGACTAACCTGGGCAAGAACAGTAGATTCATAGAACTTCAGGAACTGGCCTGGGACAGCTAAATTCTGTTCCTGGCTGTCACCAACGCATGGCCCGAAACCTCACTCCCTTGCTCCCTCAACCCCAAAAGTTCATATGCAAGTCTTGTCCGAGACCAAGGTCTTTGGGGCAGGAACGGTCTTGCTACATGTTGATATGGCACTAAGTTCAGCAAAACCTATTGGCACTACTCACAGGGGGTGGGGATATCACTGGTTCTCTCCCGTGTAAGATCATAGACAGCCCACAGACAAGTTAATGTGCCTTGCCTTGGGTAGCTTTTTATTTAGAAGGATCTGAGCTATACCTAGAGTATCCAAGGTGCCCTGTACAAGGTTTGCCTCCTCAGCAAGCCTTTGTGTATATCAAGTCAGTGCCTTCCAGGTTTCTTATGCAGCAGGGTAGGTCTTAAACTAGCCATCCGCTGGAGATGGAGGTGGTGGTGGTGGTGGGAGAGTAGAAAGTGGAGAGGAAATGCACTCTGTCTCAGGCCCCAAGTAGCTTGCATGTGAGCCAGGCTCTATCAGGGAGGGCTTCTTCACAGCATCACCTTCTTTCCCACTGTATTGCAAGAATCTGGGAAGAGGGAAGTGAACAAGGTTGATGTCAGTATAGAAAATTGGAGTGGGGTGGGGAGGGGACAGGAAGGAAGAAAGGGGGAGAATACTATCCTCTAGCACTTATATAAGAAGACGTGCTGATGAAAAACCCTGAAATATTTTTTTTTTTTTTTTTGAGCCAAGGTGGTTGTTATTATTGTTCCCTTACTTGAAAGTGAAGGAAACTGAATGCAGAGAAAGGGTTGCTGATCCTGGGTTTCAGCCCAGCAGCAGCATAGGGGACTCAGCACCTCTTATGAGCCACCAATTCCCATATATCTACTCATGCAGGAGCATCTTTTTGGAAGAGAGATTTATCTTGCTTGTGAAGGTCTTTTGAAGACCTAGCTGGAAGGGCACAGCTATATTGAAAGAAAATGCTGTATTCAAGATGCAAAGATAAAAGGGAAATGTTTGAACTTGAGCAAGTGGTTAGGAACCTCCTGGCAGACAAGATTCCTTGGGTGAATTTGATATCTTTTATTAGACCAACCCAAATAGTTGGAGAATAGTTATTAAGCAAGCTTTCGAGTTCAAAAACCCTTCGTCAGGCTACGGAAGTTTCAGCAGTTGGTGTGCGATCTTCCTGGATGGAATGAAAAGTAAGGAAGCCAGGGGCTGGGCTGGGCTGGGCTGGGGAGTCAGTTGCCAGGCAGATTATAATGTATCAAAAATCCAATGTCTATGTTTAGTCCATGATCTCTAGTATCCAGGAGGTTGATGAAATGGAGCTCATAGGCTCGTCTCTGGGAAGTGTTGTGTAAGTTTCCCTTGAGGATCAGGACTGAGAGATTGGAGAGAGAGTGGCCCTCCTGTGAGAAATGTGCCCCCACCGGTAATTGGGTATTTCTGTCTTTGATGGATTTCCAGTGTGTGTTCATTCTGGTGCACAGTTGTTGTTTGGTCTCTCCTACATATTTTCCATCAGGGCATTTGGTGCGTTGGATGAGGTATATTACATTCCTGGAGGTGCAGCTGTAAGATCCAGGGATGCTGATGGCTCTGTTGTGGGGTGTAGTAACAGTGGGGGTGGTGGAAATGTGTTGGCAGGTTTTGCATTTCTTGTCCTGGCACGGTCTGGATCCTTTCGGTGTGTTCTGGGCTTGAGGAAGTTTGCTTCTGGTGATGAGGCTGGCGAGGTTCGGTGCTTGTTTGAAGGCTAGGATGGGTGGCTCTGGGAAGATCTTTTTAAGAATAGGGTCTCTTTCTAATATGGGTTGCAATTTTTGGAGGATTTTCCGTACAGGTTCAAGGGAGGGGTGACAGGTCATAACCAGCGGTGTGCGATTTGTGGGGGGTTTTCTTCTGTACTGCAGCAGTTCTTCACGTGGTATCCAGGTGGCTCTTTCAAACGTGCGATCTACCTCTCTGGAGGAGTGTCCTTGCTGGGTGAAAGCCTTTTTAAGATTGGTGAGGTGGCAATCCTGGGTGTTCTCTTCAGTGCAGATGCGGTGGTATCTGAGGGCTTGGCTGTGTATCACAGCTTTTTTAGTGTGTTTCAGGTGATTGCTGGTTCTGTGCAGATATGCATGTTGGTCTGTGGGTTTCTTGTATACTGTGATCTGTATTTTACCCTTCTGGATACTGATCCTTGTGTCTAAAAAGGGGATGTTGGTGCTGGAGTATTCTAAAGAAAGTCGGATGGAGGGGTGGTGATTGTTGAATTTCTGGTGGAACTCCATCAGAGATTGCAGGTTCTCACTCCAAATGATCAAGATGTCATCGATGTATCTTAGGTATAGTAAGGGTTTGATGGTGCAGTTCTTGAGGAAGTTTTCTTCCATTCCTGTCATCGTTAGGGATATCTCCCAGCCTAGAACCTGAAGTTTGGGCCCAGATTACCAGAGTGGACAATATTCCAAATTTCATCACTCCTTCAGTATAATAGCATAAATCAGCCCAGCACACTTATTTAATGGAGACCAGGATCTCAGCTGGCATCTTATTGCTAAGATCTGGTTCTGTCCTCAGACAAACACCTGTACCAGTCCCACTAGAGTCCTTTGGGGTAAACCGCTCTGTCCTGACTTCCTCTCATAAATTGGCCCAACTGACTTTAACAGGGTTTCATGGGAAGTTACCTGTTGAAGAATATGGCTTACATTGTTTGGTCATTCTGTCCAATGGATGGTGGGGTTCACACTTAACATTAGTGTTACACAAATGACCAATTTATCAAATCAAGAGCAAGACCTTATAAAGGGGGATAAGGCAAAATGTACTGATTACATGAATCAGACAGAAGTTTGGATATACCACTCATACAAACACATGCATATCAGCATGCACACCACACACAGACATACAGACACAAAACAACCTTTCCATTCAGATGTTATAGTTACCAACAGCAGTTGCTCAATAATGGCACTAGGTGGCCAACCCAGGCCTATTGAGAAGATGAAGATAGAAACTGGAGCGGAGTGAATAGACACTGCTGCTTTCTTTGGAGCACAGACATTGAGAGAGGCTCATCCAACCTGGCATTTTTCAGAGTCCTCTTTTATAGGGATTGCTGTCCTTTGTTTCAGCACTTTGGGGTTTTTTCATACTGAATTTCTGTTTTTGCAGTTGTTTCTCATCCATCTTCTGCTTATCTCAGCTTGAGGTCATGTTGGTTGTAAAAAAGTTGGTATCTCAGCTCTTGAAGCATCCTTGCTGCCCATCTGGCAGGATATGCTACATTCCTTTTCTTCATTATCTCCTTTGTGTCCTAGGCCTCAGAGGGATGCTTCAGTCATCCATTAATTAGTTTACAACTTGTAACTTACACATTTGGCACCTTGTTGCTTACATAAACAGTTAAGTCTTCCTTTTCCTGCCTTCATGCCATTCTTTCCCTCTCACATGCGCACGTTAAGCAAGACAAGACAAAATGGAATCTTTGGCTACTCATAGAATACAAGGTTAACATATCCAGAGAGGCCTACTATCCCGATGATGTTATTCTACTAACACTAAAAATCAATATCAAAGCAGCTCAAATTCATACTACTTTAGAAAAGTAAGGTCCTTCTTCCAAATTAGAAGCTGTTCTACCATAGTAGCCTGGAGATACTAGCAAGTTTCCCCTTCTTGAGCCAGTTTGCTTAGCTCCTCAGCTGCTTTCACACCTTGGAAGCAAGCATGACAGCTGTAGCTGGTCAGTTTTCCCCTATCTAGCCGTGATGGGCTGGTCTGAGCTACCACCCAGATACTAGGGTGCATGGCATTTTCAACATACCCAGCAATCTCCCTATAGCCTCCAGCCCTTGATTAGAAGACATGCATCACCTAGGAAACGAGACTGAGGATACAAATTCAACCCTTTCAACCAGTGCAGTTAAGTCATTTCTCTGCCCAGGACAAGAAAGCAAGGAACTACTTTCACACATACCGCTGGCACATAGTCGATCTTCGTCCCAGCATAGCCATAACAAAGTCCTTGTAAGGAACGGTGCTGCCTGCGTTCCCAGTGATGTCTTGGACTCGCACCCTGAGCTCCAACAAGCTTCGGAAAACTTGGAACTCCCTCAGTAGGTTGCTCAGTGTCGGATAGTCTGAAATTAAGCCAGGCTCAGATATGTTCCATGTCACAGAAGTTACAGGTGGAAGAGACTTATTTATCATCTACTCCTGCCCCTCCAGTATTGTCCTCCACATTGGAAATACAAATAAGATCTGGAGTTTATCTTCATTGAGAGTTTTAAGAAATTGTTCTATGGCTATTATGGGCCAGAGGAGCTCCACAGGTCTATTGTGGCATGCTGGTAGACCAGGCACAGGTAGTCCTAGCTTCAGGCAGAATTCAAGGTCATTACATTGCATTTGCCTACACTAGAGCTCCTGCACTGTTCCAGAGCAGCCATAGGAAAATTTCAGAAAGTGTTTTGCATAGACAAGTCTCTGTGGTATCAATATGGTGATCTGTGGTATACACTATTTCTTGATGTTTGTAGACAGCAGGGGCTCACACTAGTCCTGAAGAGACCTGCAGAGCAGCCTCAGTGATAAGGTTCTTCTAAATCTAAAATCAGTTGGTCAACAAGAGTCTCCAATATGGATGGTCCCTAAAGGTTTTTAATACCTAGAGCGCAAGTGACACCTCATTTATCTACTTTTCCCCCCTACCTCTTTGGCATTATTATAAACTGTTACATGATGTCCCCCAAGCAAAAAAAAGAAGAGAAATTGAACTAAGGTGCATATCCTGCCATGGGCTCCACACATTAATTCTAAGGTAGTACAGGAGACGATGGCACCTTGCCCTGCTGGATACAAGGTGTAGGTAGTCTCAAGAGAAATACAAGCATTTGGGAGAAGTGGGGAATTTTCATATTTGTGAAGTGTTTTCTTAATAGGAGACTCAAGCAAGGTCCATTTGGGACTGGATGAGAAACCCAATAAAAATCTCACATACAAGGAGAGACATCCCATTGCTATCCTATCAAACATTGCAACCTAGGTCTTAGGTGGTTACTAGTTATTGAACCATGTAGGTGCATTCCCTAGTCTTGAGAGCCATCTTCCAAACCTGGCAAGCATGTCTTTGCTGTTCTACTTCCCATCTTCAGGCACTGAGATTTTTCTTCCCTTGTTACAGAGCATTAAAGTGACCCCAGGGGACTGAACAGCTATGGGACAACCTTGTACTCAGATGATCATTTCCCTCCCACATCCTCAGCCTCACCATTCTGAATAGCACCTTTGGAGCCAGGGATATGATCCACTAATACCAAGGAGTTTCCTCAGTGGGTCTGGGATTAACCACCAGAGTAAGCTTTAGTTAAAAAAAGCTGATGGTACATGTTGTTCAGGAGGTCAGAACCAGTTCAGTCAGTGATAATGCTACTGTATCTGCTGTGAGCTTTTTCCATCCCAGGTCTACTTCCCTTTATGGCTCTTATTTTGAGGATTAAAAGGAGAACCTCCTCTATACAATCTCTCTTGTGAAATAAGATTGAGCGTTACACCTCAGCACTTCAGTAGACATACTAGCAGAGCAAGGGGCCCTTCAGATCTGCTCTGCTGGAAAAGGGAAGCCAGGTCTACAAGCAGTGAGAATTAAGTGACATTGTACCAATTTCTCCTGTGTGCATAGCATCATATTCCAGAAATGCACCTAGGAGAGAAAGAGAGAGGGGAGAGTCACCATTTTCTTAAACCAAACTTGCTGCACTTGCATTGATCTTCTACAGCAAATAGCCATATGGAGATACACATCCAAGGTTACTTGTCCGGGTGTCTGGGTACTCACCACCCCTAATTCTGTGGCAGGGCTGATTGAGGGATGGTGGCTCTCTTTCACACATGCAATCAATCATTTCTCAGGGAATTTCTACAGATACGTTAGAAATGTTTTGTTCTCTCTTAGGTTATTCCACATTCAGGCACCTGGATAGGCTCTATTTCAGCTAAAAATATAAGGAGCTTCCATTGGCAAGAACTGTACTGTCAGGCTAGAGATAATGACAAAAGCTGTTGCAATCAAGCAATTTACACATGTGTTAGAGAGACAACATAGGTCTCAGGGGCATTCTCTCCCCCTACAGCCTCTTCAGCATCTTGAGGCCAGATTTGCAGCTGGTGGAAGCTAGCATAGGCATTACAGTCAGTAGAGTTGTGTCAATTCACACCAACTGGGTGCGTGGGTTAGAGGCCCAAGGTCTCCATAGCCCAATTCAGGAGCGCAAAACCAATTTAAAATTACAGCATTTTTAAAGAGGTGGGGGAGAATCATTGTCCTGTTTGTTGACTTGATTTATATGCCACTTGTTCCTAAACTTCTGGTTGCCCAATGAACAGGAGATCCAAGAATTACCACCAGCTACAGCCAACAGTGATCTAAATGCATAGTCCACATATGCCAACTAGCTCAGACAGCGTTAGGACTTCCCAACACATACTGCAATCATTAGCAAATCTCTGCTCTCCCTGAACATCTAGCTACCTGTTTTGGTGTTACAAAACTATCCTCTACACATCTCGTCACCAGGCTGAACTTACCCTTCAGCAGTTCCAGTTTTTCCTGGAGATTTGGAATATCTTGGAATGGTTCATCAGCCAGGTACTCCTGTTCAGGCAGAGAAGTGTCACCAATTGCTCTCCCTGGCCTTGTGACATCCCCTAGGTGAGTCTATCCCAGTTCTGAATCATCATCCGTCTCTTATCAGCTTGTGTTTGAGAGACTCTGAGTTTACACCCTCACCCCCACTATACCAGTCTAGCGGAGGCCTGTCATGAGTTAAAAAATGATGAGGGAGATTCTGCAAGAATCATTAGATGCTATATAGAGAGAGGGATGCAAGGTAGAGAACATTTTGCTTTCTTATCTTCCTGCTCTACTCACTACATTCTTCAACTCATCAAACCTGAGTGATGGAAAAAGCTTGCAGCTCAGGTCAGTTGTATGTGAAAGTTTGCTTTCCTTCTCAATCTTTGCTTTCTTTCCCTTTGAGCCAGGAAGAAGTAAACAGCCACAGATCTCAGTTAATCCTGAAATAAGAGAGATGTTCTTTCCCATTTTGGTTTTTTAGCCAGATGCTTGCTATAACTTGGGTAATTAAAGGATTTCTTGCAAGCTTGATCAATCTCATGAGGCTTCCTGGTGGAACAGATCTCCCAAACCCATGACAGCTTTAATCATGGAGCCTGAACGTAGCAGTTATCTTTACTAGAAAGAGATGGCACCGTACAGAAGACATTCCAACATTCAGACCCTTCAGGACAGACTTTCAGCCACTTCACTAGAGGCTGTACTTGCTTATAGAAGAGCTACATTTGATCTGATTTGCCTATCAGGGACTCTAAAGCAAGTCTGTTGCTTTATTTTGGACTCTGTGAAAGGGAATCAATTTAACACCCAAATCTGTTCCCTAATATTTTGATAAGTGTAGTCAGACTAAGCATGTTACATAAACGTTAGGTCTCATTCACACCAAGCTAATAATAAACTCAAGAGACATATCTGTGTTAGGCAGGGGTAAGAAATCAGAAACAGACCACTTGCATTGTTTATACTGTGGTACCTATTGACAGCAGCCACATTTCATTTTCTGTAGAAAGTCTTGTAATTTGCTACATATTTGGAGTTTTAATGGTTAAAGTCCAAAATGAGTCAAAAGTAAACATCAATACGTAGAAGCGGGGTATACAAGATCAATAAGAATCCCAGTGGCATCTCAGATTGCAAAGGGGTTTCAGCTCTGTGATTAGCCAAAAACCCTCCTGGTAAGGATTTTATGCAAATGAATGTTGTGAGGAAAAGATAGAAGTCCCCTGGGCAGGAAATAAAAGAAATAGGAATGTATTCAGCTTCTCTCCCTTTTTTTTTTATTATAATACCCTAGGTCTTTGCAGGGTGGGGGTAGAAGGGAGGAAGAAGCATTGCGGGTTTTTTCTTGCTTTATGAGCCCTATTTTGTGAAACCCATTTTGTCTTATTCTTTGGCACAGAAAGGATAACAGAAAAGTGTATAGGCAGATAGAGAATCACTTTTGACCTGGGGTCTCATGTTCTCTTCTTTATTATTATAAAGAGAGATTTCTTTTTTGTTTGCATGAAGTTTTGTATCTCCTATAAAAGGAGACGTGCTAAGAGCTAGAAAGTTTAGTGCAATTACCACCCACCTTGTTAACTAGATAAAGTTCCATTTCTTGATTCTTCAGTAATGGAATCTCCTTTCCTACAATAGACATACAAAAGTTATTAAAAATAACGAAGCACAAAAAAAAATACAGAAAAAGAAATCCTTAATATTTACCAGCCATTTTCTCTAAAAGGCCTATGCCTACAAAGAAACAAACAGCTATTTCAGCTTACCATAGTTTCCCCCTACCCCCAAGACCCTCCTTTATACACTTGAGCTTGACATAGGCTAATTGAAATAATTTGACTAGTTGAAGTCAGCTGCCACATTAGACATGTCAGCATTGAACTGATGGCAACTTCCCACTGAGAATAAAAAGTGTGGGGGAAGAGGCCATTAGCATGATGCCACTCAGCTGATAGCTCTTTCCTGGGTCATTTCAAGCATATAATTATGTGCTTGAGGGTCGGTTTTTGTGCAGCTGTCAGTAACAGAGGTGGATTTTAGCATCTGGAATGAGACATTTGTAAAATTCTGCAGGAGGTGCTAGTTCTTTTGATGGATGGGTGAATTAAATAAGTGGGTGACAATGCTGCTGTGAAAGCTGTCTCAGCTGAGAAAGGTGGTGTGAAGTGAAAGGGGAGAGATCATTCTGTCCCAGGGTCTGTTAGAAGGAAATTCCTAGTATATTATGCAGCTCAGAAACCCTCCCATTGGCATCTAACTTCTACCTTTATTTTGATTGTTTAGATTACTATCCTATAGCTCTCAAGCAAGATCAGGGTCCACTGTGCTAACTGCTGCGTGAACACAAAGAGATAATTCCTTGTTTCATGCGGCTGGCACACACTGCAATAAACAGCATGAGGCTCAGGAACAGCCTCAAAGACATTCATTAAAGAAGGGGGATTTAGGTACAGTGGTCAGAAGTAGAGAAGCCAAAAAGGCATGTCCAGACAACCTAGAGACAACTGGTGTCAGTCCCCTGCTGGTCTCTGCAAGCTGAATTCTAGGTTCAAAGCCATCTACGTTGAGGGGCCCGGATCCGGGGTTGCAATCTATCAAGACTGAACTGTTGATCGGGAAGCTGGGGTCACAAGGAGGACAGATGTGTGATGCCCTGGAAGCATGGCACTATAGAGTCGACCTGGTGCTTCAAGGCTGTAACTCTTGCTTCGCGTATTAGAGGTTGTGTGTTCAAATCCTTCAGGGCCTCTGGGCATACAGTGATATCTTGATGAGGAGGATTATATGATGTAGGGCCTGAAATAGCAGGAGGTAATTCCCAGGCCTATGAGCTAGATCCAGATCATCCTGCTGTGGAGCTGAGATTCCAAAGCTGCCTCTCAGCCTCTTGTTCACAATACCGCTACTAATTGTCCAATTCTGCCTTCTACACATCCCTCCCACCCACACCGCATAAGAAACATAAGTATTGTTATATTTCATTGATATGATCTTCCCTGCACTTTCCTGAGTTCCTTCATGAATGTGAGATCAACAGAGACTCAAGACAACCAATCAGAAAGCAGCTTCCAGCAAGCTATGTTCAAAGCCGTACTCTAATACAGCATTTCTCGACCCCTGTGTCATGACCCAAAAGTGGGTCGCAAGAATATATGAAAGGGTCATGAATAAATTTAAAAAATGGATTCTCCTTTAAAAGAGAACAATGTAGGGAGCCATGGCTTTTCCCTTGCAGACTGGCAGAGTTCCAGCCTGCAAGGGGCTGCTTGGGGTCCTCCCTACCCCACACCCCTCCAACCCACACCTTGCCCTGTCCTCACATGCCCACCCCTTGTCCCACACACTGGGGGAGGGGCGGGAGCAGTGGGTGGGGAGGGGCACTGGGTCGGGACTGGCCACTGATGTTTACAAATGGGTCCTGAGACAAAAAAGGTTGAGAACCACTGCTCTAATACACCTGCATGAGCAGAGGGGCAAGATCCTGCTCTCAATCACTTGGGTGGCAACGTAGCTCAGCTGATATTGACTGAACTAGTCCATATCCACATGGCTCAGGGCCAGGGCTGGAGACACTGAATGTGACGAAAGTCTCGGAACATTCTGTGGCGCCTGTTCTAGAACTAGGGAGGCGACCAATCAGGATGGGCTAAACAGCAGAGAGAACATAGAGCTTAAAGTCTGTGAAAGCAGTTGGGCAGAGTTCCATTGGGCTCTCCACAGCCCTGGGGGGATTCCAGTGAGTATCTTTCTAATCTATTTATTGCTACTATTTCTACTGTTGCTGCTGCTAAGGGGTGTGTCTACACATTCATAACGCACAGTAGTTACTGCGTGTTTAGTTTAGTACTTGCTTAATGAAGTACTAATTACGCAGTAACTATAGTTACTGTGCAGTAGCACCAGTGCACAGTGTTTTAGTATGCTTACTGTGCAGTAGTGCATTAGCATGGTTTTTGCCCAGCACGCTACTGCGCAGTGTTATTAGGCTGCTGTGCATTGTTTCATGTAGATGCACCCGAAGGGTTATTGCTTATTCAAGCCACAGAGGCATCTAAGAAAGAGCCCTGATTAGGTGGAAGCTCATTTCAGTTAATTAGGGTGTCTGCAGACTTTGGTCCCAAAGTCCAGTCTCTCTGGACATTCATGGACATGCTCCTCGGAACAGGGTCGGGGCTTGGAAACAACCTCTTTGTTTCCTGTGACATCTATATAGGAAATAGCTGATGTAATGATTTCCATCATCCACAGCATGCATTTGCCCAAGTAACTTGAATGGAAGGGCCTCTGGCTAGTGGTAGAAGTAACTATATGTGAATTTTGAGGGAAAAGAAGAGAGATGCGATCATAGGATGTACCAGGACAAGTGCTTAGCAGAGATAGGGAAGTACTTAGTGCCCCTGAAAAGGGCACTGGTGGAACCCCATCAGGTAGAATTTTATTAGTATTGTGAATCCAAAAAGATGACAAAGCCAGTAGGGAAATACAAATCACCCAAGAGAGGGATGGGGGTGAGGAGGGGAACACAACTAGGTTACAGAAAATACAATGTTAGCCAACTAAGCCCAAGGGTGGGGGGAGGAGGGGCAGGGGAAGGGGAGGGAGGGGGTTTGTGACGCTGAGAGAGAAAGAAGATAGATGCACACAAACCCGTACAATGGTCCGCAATGGTGAAGGAAGTAGGTCGAAGAAAGTGTCTCAGTCCATATAGAGTCTCATTGCGGGGGTCCTCTTCGGGTGGAGCAGGGTCGGCCGTTGCTGAAGAATCCTCTCGAAGTGAAGTCCATCTGATGCAGAGGGGGGTTCAGGCGGTCCCCTCTGGGTCCAGTCTGTCGGCGGTCCATCCGGTGGGGTCGGAGTACTGGCAGTGGCCTGTGACGTGCTCCACATAGATGTTGCGGGACCAGTGGATACAACCCTTGGTCAGGGAAGCTAAGTCCAAATTGGAACAAGTGCAGGGAAGGGCTCCCAAGATTATGAGGGGAATGCAGATTCCATCTTACTGGAGAAGCCTACAACACTTAGTTTTGTTCTACCTCATAAAGCTACGTAGAAATACATCATGGGGTAAACACTAGGGAGGAGAAGAGCCAGAGGACAATGTTGGTAGAAGAACAAATGGGACTTCCTAACCACCAGAGGAGGGAGGTTTTGAAATAGCCTTTCACTGGGGCAGTGGGTGGTAAACAACCTCAACTGGTTTTAAAGTGGAGGAAGGCAGGGTAGAGTTGAGCTTTACTATCTAAATAAGATGTAGATCAAATAGGTTTCTAAAGGGAATTCTGTGATTTGCTGCCTAAAATAGCAGGGGACTAAATTGGAAGACTCAGTCTTGTGTTCTTAGAATTCAGAGCTAGGTACTATAGGAAAGACAGAGGAACTTAGGAAAGCATTAGTTGGGTTGAGGGCATTGAGGAGGAGTAGTTGTGTGCCTGTGAGGGGTGAATTATGCACGTGTACCCTTGTATCCTGTACACAGAGGGTTAATAATGCCAGTTGCAAAAACATGCTCTCTCCCTAAGAGGGTTGAGTGTGTATGATGTGTAACCTGTGCTGGTAAAATGTGGATTTTTGTTTCTCCTTGATGGCTGGAAGAGATTTGTGAGGCTGCTTTTGCCATGAAGTGAACTGATTCCTCAGCACAGGCAATAGATGCTAATGCATTCGAGTCCTGGAACCAGTCCACACAGCACCTGGACAGGAAATCTGAACTCTGCGCCTCTTTGAAATGAAACTTCCCCAACCAAAGGCAGCATTTGACACAGTTTGGTTCTACGTAGTTCCACACTCTCTCTAGTGGTAATTTATCACCCGGGAAGTTTTGGAGTCTGCTGTTGCTTTTAAACCAACTGAGGTCATTCTCTAGCTCAAGGAACAAATGTGTGTCAAGAAGGGGTGGGGGGGAGGACAATTCACTTTAATGACTTGATTAACGTTGCTTGTAGTAGAAGCAGCATGACCCTCTCTCAGGACAGGAGGCAATAACAGGAGTGGACTTCAGAAAAAAAACAACCCCCCCCGGCCAAACCCTAAGAATCCTTTTCCTTTGGCTGAAAAAAAAAAAAAAGCTGACACAAGCTGGAAGTGGAGAGGCTCTGTCCCATGGGATAAGGCAAGAATACAAAGGCACTTTTTTTTTTTTTTTTGCTGCTCAGTGTTACAGATTTGAAGGATCAGGCAGGCCTTTTTCTCAAACGATTGGCATGGCTCTGGGTCTTGGGTCAAGGTAGATTGAACCATAATCCACGTCAGTTTGGAGGACACCAGACCAGCTGGTGGTTCAGTGGTCTTCTCTGAGAGTCCCTCCATGTATTATTCTACTACAGTGTTTCCCAACCTTTTCCAGCCCAAGGCACACTTACATTCATAAAAATTTTCCATGGCACACCAGTTAAGGCATTCCCCATCCTCATACTTGTTGTAGCTCATTGTAGCGCATTGCCATGGCAAAATTCCACGGCACACCTGTTCATTTCTGATGGCACACTGGTTGGAAAACATTGCTCTACTATAAAAGCAGGTGATGCTACTGCAAGTTTATACAGACAGCGTGAAGACGGACATCCTCAGTTCTCCAATTTGGCAGGTTCAGAACATGGGGCTGGTCTGTACATCCCACTGGAAATGCCTCTGAGGTTCACTTTTAAAGATGCAGTGGTTGTGTATGCTGGGGGAGAAAAGATGATGTGTGTGGAGGCCCAGCTTGCCCAATGATGGTTGGCTTGAGCTGCAGCATGGACCAAGGGGGAGGAGGGTGCCC